CCCTGGGTCCCCCAGCCCTCCCGACTCCCTCCCAGGGTCCTTCCCCGTTCCCCGCTCTGTCTGACCCTCTTCCCCGCAGATGGCTGGAGAACTGGCAGACAAGAAGGACCGGGACGCATCCCCTGCCAAGGAGGAGAGGAAGCGCTCCCGCTCCCCAGACAGGGACCGGGATCGTGACCGGGATCGCGACCGGGACCGCAAGAGTTCCCCCTCCAAAGACAGGAAGCGGCACCGGTCCCGGGACAGGAGACGAGGCAGCCGTTCGCGGTCCCGCTCCCGGTCCAAGTCGACAGAGAGGTGAGGGGTGTTACAGGGGACTCCCCAGCTTTTTAGGGAAAAGCGATCTCACTCTTGTCTGTCCATAACGGCCCTACAAAGGGCTGGGTGCAAGTGGATGGCCTGGGGCCATGCTGTCACTGCCCTGTTCTGCAGGGATCGCCGGCACAAAGAGCGTGACCGGGACCGGACCAAGAAGGACCGGGACCGGGAGAAGGATGGGCACCGGCGGGACAAGGACAGGAAGCGGTCGAGGTGAGTCCCCTCTCTTTTCGGGGTGTTCCTGCTCTCCCATAAGCACCCCAGGGCTGTTCTCTGTAAGAAGTGTTGTCCTGGGTGAGAGCAGGATTCCCTCGGTTGGTGGGGACGGGGTGACCCTGAGGCTGCATTCGGTGCCTGATTCCGCTTTGTTTTGCTGGGAAGCTTGTCCCCAAGCAGGGGCAAGGATTCAAAGTCCCGGAAGGAGAGGGACTCACGGAAAGCAGAGGAGGAGGAGGAGAATGCCCTGAAAAAGGAGAAGGTGAGGAGGGGGCAGAGGGGGCTTGGCTGGGAACAGCTCCCTGGGGGGGATCACTCTGGTGAGGCAAAAGGTCCCCGTTGGGGGCTGCTAATAGTCCGACCCCACATTCGCAGGCCCAGCCCCTGTCCTTGGAGGAGCTGCTGGCTAAGAAGAAGGCTGAAGAGGAGGCAGAAGCCAAGGTAGGAGCAGAAGCCTTTTGTCTGTGTTGGGGCTCTCCCATACCATGCGTGCAGTACGGGATGGATGTTTGAGGGGGCAGTCCTGTC